TGAAACGGGCCGCCTCTGTTCTCTTGTCCCCATTTGGTTGCAGGCCCATTGCTTCTCTTTCATACTCTTTACATCATTTTGTTTATGGCCCATATCTGTTTTTGTGGGTGCACCTTGCTCGGCCCATACCTCATCACCCAATACTTGAATGGGGTCTGAGCTAGTTTGGTTCTTGGTTCTAGCACCCTTTTCCCTTCCTTTCACGTCTACTCTGTCCTCAACATCATTCATTGTTCCATTGTCAATGTTGTCAGCTACTTCTTCTGCAGTTTTCTCTTCTCTCAGTCGGCATTGGTATCTTTTATTAGCTTTTTCAAATTGTTCTGCTTCAACACTTCTTTCTTCTAATTCAAATTCTACCTCGTGTGCTGAACTGGCGGCGTGCCTTCTGTCATTTGTACTGTGCCCCACTGTGTCACCAACGGCTTCTTCTTTTTCCTTGGCCCTCTCCCTATTGGTTCCATATTCCTTATCTTGCCATTCATCATCATAATCATTAGCGTTTGACCAGTATTCTTCATGATCTGATTCACTTTTAAAGCTGGGTATGAAATGATATCTCAAAGAAAACAAGCTGTTAGTCATTTCTTCTTCAGTGAACTTGAGATAGTAGCCCTCGCCATTCACTCTAATCTGCCGTTTAACTGAGATAAGATCCATTATCGGGGGGATATGAGGAATCTCACTATATCGAATCTTCTTTTTTGACTTTTACTATCATCCAGACATATGAATTTGCCCCACAAAGTTGCCATTGACTCAAAAAAAGCAAGACCAAATGACCGACCAAGAGGTAGTATGCGACAGTGGGGGAAGATGGATACAAAGCAGGTCGGACAGAGTAGACGACAGCAGAGGTATGTAGAGTGGGGATATGACAGGGGATTGTATAAGCAGGCTTCAGCTTTCTTCTTTACCAATTTCCCCGACGACTGGAGCTATTCAGAAATGTGGAGGACTTTTGGGAAATTTGGTAGAGTGTATGCTATCTACAGCCCTCAAAGAAGGAACAGAAATGGGAAGAGATTTGGGTTTGTTAGATTCCTGGATGTACAGAAATTGCAGGCCATGGAGAACCAACTTGATCAGATCCACATAGGAAGCCATAAAATATGGGTTAATTTAGCTAAATACCCGGTGGAGGAGAATGAGCCTAAGGTGTTAAGGAGATTTTCGAACTCAAA